CTCAGGTGCCTGCAACGCTAGCGGCATTTCCACACATCGGCAGTGCCTCGGTTAAAACTTGCTTGGCTTGCAAGGTGGGGAGCCAGATCAGAGCCATGGGCTGGGAAAATGGTCTCCAAAGCAAGCGTCAGGCTTTGCCTTCCCTTCAGAAGGAACGGCGCTGCTTGGAAACTTTATTTTTGGCCATGAGGAAAGCACCAGCGTGGAGACTTTGTTAACGCAACATTCCCTAGTGCCAGCATCTTTGTTGTCAAAGCATGTTTCTCTAGTGCCGAGGAGACATTTAAATGTCTGAAGCCTGAAGTGGATGTGTCTAGCGTCCTCCTGCCTCGCTTTGCAACTCAAAGCCGCCTCCAGCCTCCCTTCCCACCCCCAGCCCTGATTTCAGGTACACAAGCCTCTCGGTGGAGCCTTCAGCTTTACGTTTTTGCAGCATTACAGGTGGGAGATGAGTGGGGATGGTTGAGGGGTGCGATCCCCCAGGATCCAGGTGAATCCCAGGGATGTTCAGGGGATTGCACCCACAGCAGGGTGCCATGCCTCACCGAAGAGCATGGCAGAGACCCAAACGGAGTGTTTATATTGCTGACGGATAATCTTTTAAGCTTTCAGATGCAGGCATGTCAACCTGGAGTGTTTATATTGCTGACAGATATCTTTTAAGCTTTCAGATGCAGGCATGTCAACCCAAGTGTTCCAGTTGCCCTGGCGACGTGATGCATTAGCTCCCGGATGCTGTGTCTGATCGCATCAGTCTGGAATGTGATCCCTGTTTGTTTGTGCCGATAAGGCCCGGAGGGGGCTGGGAAGGAGTGGGGAGAAACGGGGGGGGGCGAGGGCTGCTCAGCTCCAGTAGGGACACCCAGGATTAGGGGGGCCAACCTGCTCCAGGGGTGCGGGAGAAGTCATGGGATGTGTGTTGGCGCAGGAAAGAACTGCTCTGTGTAGCTTTTGATGCCTACTTGGTACCAAGGGATGATTTTCCCCTTAAGACCCTCCCTTGGGCTGGTGGGTGAGAGTAGCATCAAAGGAGTCCAGGGCTGTTAAATGGAAATCCCCTGCCAGACCGGTGAGAGGGTTGAAGCGATAAAGGCTGGTGGAGGAGCAGCCCGATGCTCATCAGATTGGGAAGGGGAGAGGGACAGACCCAAACCTCCTTGGGCCGGGGCCTGGAAGGGGCAGAGCTGTGGCCGAGTGGGGGTGAGACACTGATGTTTGCAGGTCCAGGGAGCAGGGAGTGTGGACTGTTTGCTAGGTCTGTGCTGGGCAGGAGGAAAAACACCTGGGTGCAGCGGGGCTGGTGCTAGAGGCCAAACCCTGCATGGACAGCTCTTGCAGCCCGGTCCCATCTGCGGTGCTGAGCTACAGACAGGCCTGGCAAGAGCCAAAGTGGGAAAGGCAAAGCAGCGTGTGGCTCCGAGACGCCCGGAGCGAGCTCCCTCCGCCTGCTCGTGTGGCTGCTCAGGCTCAGCACGCTTCGCCATGTGCCCCTGGAGGGTTTTCTTCGTTTAAGGGGTTTATTGCTTTAATCAGATCCCTGGCTAAGGCGATTCTAATGAGTCATCCAAGGGCTTGTGAGCCCTTGCTGTGGCTCTCGGGGATCCCCCCGGCCGGTACCGGCTCTGCTCAGCGTTTTGCTGCTGGCTCAGGAAGTTTTTCTTGCAAGGGCAAAGCAGGGACCAAACTGCCAGGGGAGAGGTGCCTCCTTGTACAAGGAGGAGTGCAGTGTTGAATCTTGTCCATGACTGTTTGCTCTTTCTTGCTTTCCTTCTATTTCTTCCCCTCTTTCC